TTTATATATATTTTAATTGCATTTTAATTGTTCTGACTTTTATTGTATTTTAAATGTTATAAGCCGCCCAGAGACCTTTGGGTAGTGTGGGCAGCATATAAATTAAATAAATAAATAAAATAAATAAATAAATAAAAGAGCTTGGGCCAGTCTCAGCCTTGTTTTCAATGCTGGAATCCCAAATAAATTAAATAAATAAAATAAATAAAAGAGCTTGTTTTCAATGCTGGCATCCCAGCAATTCTTTCAGTAGCAGAGTGTGGGAATATATTGGCTTAAAAGCCTTCTAACTACTTTGTGGAAATTGAGTGTGGCCTTAAAATGAAATAAACGTCCTCTAGTTACACAGCGGATGAAAATGGTTCAGGCAGGGACTGACAGAGCAGACTGAGCTACGGGTAGGTTACCCCTTATTTGTTAGTTTACCTCGACTGACACTTGCTGTCTCAATACATTCAGAGATTCTGGTAATAAGAGAGAATAAAATGATTCGGTTTACTCACAGTTCTTCATAGAATAATGTAAAAAAGGTAAACGTTCCCCTTGACAATTTGTCCAGTCTACAATTTGTATTGTACAATTTGTCTCTTCCTACAAAGGAACAGCTAGGCAATAGGAGAAACTGAGTTATGCCTTAAAATGACCTAGAGACAGTATAAAGTGATTGCAAACCAATCAGTCTGACAATTGGCACTGTGCATATGGAACTGTGTCAAATTGTATTAAAGATGTATGTAAATATGAGATAGAGATTAGTATTACAATGATAAGGATGGGGATAAGCTGGAAAATGTGAAAGAAGGGGATGGTGTAAAATAGAATTGAGCCATTAAAATGCAAAGCAGATTGATTAAAAGAAATGTGCAACTAATTAGAATAGTTATTTGTTGAGTCACCAGATAAAGGTAATATGTTGTGATGTGAATGGACTGGCTGCCGTAATTTAAAACAAAAACACAGCAGAAGCTGAGAAAAGCACTATTTACATCCCAATTTTTGTGACAGCATTGAAAGAAAGAGAGCAAGGTTATTAGACTGTAAGCTAACCCATGTGATCTGTGCCATCGAGTACAGCCGACATATAGCAATCCTAATAGGGCTTTTAAGGTAAGTGAGATATTTGATAGGGCCGGCCCTACCATTAAAGGTGAGCGAGGCAATAGTGAGGGACCTCAGCCCCATTCACTTCTGTTGGAGGGCATTGCTGTCTGTACAGTACTACATAGCCTATCTATCTTCTACCCCTAATGTGAAGGACAAGATTCTGATCCCAGGATTGAAATTAAATTCTCCTTAAAATCTGGTTAACTTCTGCATACGCGGAAGCAGGTGTTTACTTTTCTCTTTTGCCTCCAACACCAAAATCATTTGCTCTGGACCTCGGCTCTCAGAAGCTGATCACAGTGAAAGAAAACTTCAACCTGAAATAAAGCGATTACATCTCGTTTGAATCATTGGCTGTTTTTAGCTTTTAATATTGTGTTTTTAATGATGGAAGTTGCCTTGGATCCTTTTTTTAAGGTGAAAGGCAGGGTAAAATATTTTCAATTAATCAAGCAAGCATGGGATTAAGCTGGTTGTTTCACAGGGATGCAAATGCATAAAAAGGCACAGAATTGGCTAAGGGTGGCAGAAGCTAGCTCCAGTTGCTTTTAAAAGCAGTTTCCAAGACCTTATTGGCCTTTTCGTCCCTTAAAAAGGAACGAAAGGAGGAAGGAAAAAAGAGAAAAAGATGAGAAGACAGGAAGCCCTTTCAGACTGACATTAATTGTATTTTAGTTGAATTTTAATTGTTGTAAGCCGCCCAGAGACCTTTGGGTAGAGTGGGTGGCATTTAAGTTAAATAAATAAATAAATAAATAAATAGGAACCGATGGGCAACTTGGCTTATTGATAAATGTGTGCAGCTGATGAGTGCAAAGAAGCGCGGGAATGGAAACTACATTAAATGCAGATACACAAGGAAACGCTAGATTAGTAATTGTTTCGGATTTCTCCTTCAACTTTTTAAACTTCTGCAACTGTAAGAGCTTAGATAATCATTTTATACGTTCTCTTAAATGTCCATATGAAAGGGATGGTGGCCTTGGGGTTAAAGTGAGGGAGTATGACTTCCTAGAGGGGCCAGCCAAAGAGGTGGCATAGCAACGTCTACTTCCTGCTGCATCTGGGAGCCTATCCGCTTCTGGCTTGGAGCGCCAGTGGCACCGCCCCCTTTCACTAGGCTTCCAAGGGAACTGGTGAGTGACAGATGCAACGGGGGTGCTAGGAAGGGGAAAGGGTGGTACGAAGGCAAAGCGGACTTGAAGGTCGCCTCCCCCCCATCTTGGGAGGCAAATGGTAGCTCCCACCTCAGGCTCTTTCTAAGGATCCCAGGCATCTGGGAGAGTCCAAAGTGCGTGGGGGTGTAGAGCGACCCCAGAAAATACATGGACCGACAAAAGGGGGGGCAGGAGGAAAATGGGGAAGGGAGAGAAAGGCGGATCCTCCCTTTACCCCAATGGAAGATGGGTTTTTTTGGGGGGGGTTCCGACTCATGGCGACCCTATGAATGAACAATCTCCAAGAGGCCCTGCCTTCAACAGCCCTGCTCAGCTGTTGCCAACTCAAGCCCATGGCTTCCTTCAGGGAGTTCGTACATCTCGCATTTGGCCTTCCTCTTTTCCTACTGCTTTCCACCTTTCCCAGCAGGATTGGTCTTTTTCCAGAGAATCCTGCCTGCTCAGGATGGGCCCAAAGGAGGACAGCCTCAGCGTCAACTCTTTTTTTGCTTCCAGAGATCGTTTGGGTTGGATTTGTTCAAGGACCCACTCGTTTGGGCAGAAAGACAGGCCTCAAACTGAATTAGGAATGGCACTGAAGCCAGTCCCGAACCAGATTTTTAAATAAATCTACTCTCACTCTATTCTTCATCCCAGGGGAAACCAACCTAGGCAGCTAGTGTGTCTTCTTCCTCCTCTTGGCCCACCTGAAGGTCTGAACAGGAAACTAATATTATCCTCTCTATCTGTGTGTGTGTGTGTAAACATTAACTTGCGTGCACAAACACAAAACCTTGTGGTGCCTTTAGAATTTATTCCCTTCCACGAGCATGACTTTTCGTTCCTGCCTGAAGATCCGGATTGTAATCCGTGAAAGACTGCTCTGAAATACATCTGTTACTATTATAGGTGCTGCAAGGCTTAGTTATTAGCGTTTTGTTATTCTTGTTGCAGAAGTGGAATCGCTCACATTGCTACCTCTTTGTAGACAGGACTTTAGATCATCTGATTCCAAACTGCATTGCATGCAGGGCAATCATAAAGTGAGGCACCACTGTAAGCGTCAGTGCTTTGGGGGATTTCCTAATTAGAAGTCTCCTCTCTCCCACCTCCGCCCCCGCCACCAACAGCTGACGCCACATGTTTTGCCATCAGTGGCGGAAGCCAGAAAGGCCCACAAAAGAGCCAGATCTCAGATCTTGTGGCCACGGAGCCATTTTTGTCTGTCTTTCCCCCAGAAATGGAGACCTCGGTCAGAGATCATCGGGCAGAGACCGGTTCCGGGGCAGCGGCCCTGGCCGAACGTTTCCTCCTGAGCCAGGCAGAGATGAAGCAGGACGAGGAGCAGGTGAGAGTGTTTCCCCCCCTCACTCCATCATTTCAAGGAATAGAAAAAGTCTGGAACGTTGCTCTAAACATGGTCATGGGCTGCCCGTTGATTTTAGAGAAAACATCCACAGAAACATTTTCCAGAAAACATCCTGCTCCTCCCTCTCTTGCCAACAAAAAGGCAGGCCAAGAACATTCCTTTCAGGAAAGCGATTTTCAAAGCTCCAGTTATTTACACTACATAAACATCTGGGCAGCTTTATTAACGGAGATGACGGCAGAGAGAAACCGAAAAAAAGGATCGGCCTTCTGACCGTGTTCAGCCCTCGGAGTAACATTAGGGAAATGAAACACACAGCAGGGAGGTGGGACTGTCCTTGAATTCAAAGGCTGGAAGGAATGATTGTTTAGGTAAAGGTAAAGGTTCCCCTTGACAATTTTTTTGTCCAGTCATGTTCGACTCGAGGGGGCGGTGCTCATCCCCGTTTCCAAGCCATAGAGCCAGCGTTTTGTCCGAAGACAATCTTCCGTGGTCACATGGCCAGTGCGACTTAGACACAGAACGCTGTTACCTTCCCACCGAGGTGGTCCCTATTTATCTACTTGCATTTTGCATGCTTTCGAACCGCTAGGTTGGCAGGAGCTGGGACAAGCGACGGGAGCTCACTCCGTTGCGTGGATTCGATCTTACGACTGCTGGTCTTCTGACCCTGCAGCACAGGCTTCTGTGGTTTAGCCCGCAGCGCCACCACGTCTGGTTAGTGCAGAATAAATAGACAATCACCCCAGCCTGGAAATGTTTCTCCCTGTCACACAAATTACAGACAGCATGCAAAGTTGGAAGTCAAACTCCAACAAACACTAATAGGATATTCAAAGTATTTGAGACATTTAAAGAGTGGTTGACTCACCACTAGAGAGTTTCCTGTCCAGTCAGGATACTTGAACCCAGATCTCCTGAGCCCTAGTCTGACACTGGATCCCCTGCGTTACGATGTCTGTCAGGGTCTCTGCTCTGGAAATGATCTCTCTCTGGCATGACCAGTAATGATTGAGGTCCATACAGGTTTGTGGCAGGATCTTTTTGCCTCCACTAGCACACACTGCTCTGTTGTGCCCCCAGGAGGAGGTTCTGAGCCACTTACTCTAGGAAATATCTTAGACTCCCTTGCGTGACTCTAATCCGTGTCGGAAAGAATTGGGGGAGTCTCTGATTTTCACAGATGGTGGGAGCGCGGGTGAAAAAGGATACTGGTCCATGAGTTGATCTAGACTCCTTTTTTGTGGCTGTGGATTCCACATTTTAATGATCGGCTGGGTAAAGAGAAGGAAGCCCAAGTTTTAAAAAATTGGGAAATGCTGCTGTTCACCTCCACTGCTTTCCTGATTGGTCTTTTCTCTGTCACTGATTACTTCCTTGCTCTGATTTCAGCTGATGGGGCAGGTAGTCGCCGGGGCCACCAAGTCCCCCGAAGCTGAAAAAGCTGCAGTCGATGGGGAACCGAGAACACCATTCAGATGGATTGTTCAAGAGAGCAACGGCGATGTTATCTCGCCAGGTAAGGATTGGTGGTGATGGGGCGTTCTCACCCTTCCAACCTAGTCTCACTCTTGAGAAGCAGGCCTGGAAAATACTGGGATGGCTTTAATGTTCTCTTTGAGCCTGGCCAAGGGAGGAAGAGCTAAGAAAAGTCCTGCTGGATCAGACCAAAAAACGATCCAGAGACTCACCAGATGCTTTGAGAAACAAATAGGAAACCCAATTTAGCTGGACTACATTACAAATACGATGATGCTAAGAAGATTATTACCTATTTTAATTTTTTTTTTAAAGTTTGGATTGTTTGGATTAAAATTAAAAAATAAACCCTGTGTATTTAAATAACCAAATTGTGTGTGTGTGTTTTTTCCTTTCCAAAGAAGCACTTCTGGTTCCCAAATCTGAACCCGTTTCTTGGCTGGAACAAAGGGGAGAACCATTTGCCGAGGATGACGAGGAGAACAAGAAATCCACAGGTAGACGCCTGAAGGACTGGGGGTGGGAGAAGCTTTCTCAGACCTCCTGGGCTAAGGATTTCTCCTGCAAAATACTTCCTTTAGCGAAATATCTTCCACTTGATTTCTGAGATATTGTTAGGGGGAGCACCCAGAGAATGCCTGGGCAAATATGTGAAATACAGAATTTAGCACCAAATTGTTTGCATCCAAACTGCAGTAAGACCTCCCTATCCAGAGGATCGGTATCCACTGATTCACTTATCTGCTGTCTGAAAATGCTAAATAACACCCCCCTCTGCCTGAAATACTTATTTATATGTATTTCCAGGGTGTGTTTGCCAGAATGGGGCACGAGAGGGAGCCAGAAACCATGCAATGTATAGTGTTCAATGCTTTCACGGTTTTCAGCATCCGCCATGGCGGGAGGCTTGGAACGGATACCCCAGTCGTCCTGTATAGGGCAAATATCTGTGATAGAACAAAATGTGCCAACCTGTCGATCTCCATCCTTTAATTTTTCCCTGCATTGCCCAAAATCCCTGTTGTCTACTGTTGAAATGTGTAGCAACCCAATATTGCTATGCATGGACTCATGGACACTTGATCACATGATCGCCTTTAGAAAAGAACATCTGTCTAGGAAAACGTGACTTGTTGGTTCCCTCCTCCTTTAGTTGCCATGCTGTCTTTTCCTTCCTGCCATTAGGAGCTTAACCTTCAAGGTTTTTCAGTGAGTGCTTGCCCTCCAGCATGTGAGGCAGACCTTAGATGGAGCTCTCTCTACAGCCATGATTCGGAGAGGGGGAGGGGGAAACACCCGATTTCCTACCCTTTTAAGAGATGAAATGGTGATTCTTTTCCGCGATCCCATCTCTTTTTACAATTGTTTTTAATGGGTAAACATTTATTTGTCCAATTGCCACCAGTTAAGAAGTTAATGTAGGCCTGTGTGCAGTTAAGCGTGAAAGCAAACGCCTGTGCTAACGTCATCATGGGTGGTGATTCACCAGTGACGTAGTTACCAAGTGTAACGACGCCATAGGATTTTGGTGCTTGTCTTCTCGGACTGGCTGTGCGTTTGGAAGGCCCCAGCCTTCTGTTTGAACTCCTTCATGAAGTCATCATCGGAATAACAACCATATCCTGGAGGAGGATGCAGACCTGGCATGCATAACCGAGACATGGAATGGCGGGGAGGGGGGTCCTCCCCTGGCTCTCATCTGTCCGCCCGGTTATGCCGTCCAGCACCAGGGTAGACTGGAGGGGGGGGGGGAGCCATTGTTTATAAATCCAGCTTACAGGTTACTAGGCACTCCTCTGTGGTAAATCCAGGTCTAGAGGCACTCCACGTGTCGATCAGGGCCAGGGATGGAACTGGGATTTTGCTGGGTTATCGCGCTCCCTGTAATTCAGCAACTTCCCTTCTGGAGCTGGCCGACTTTGTCTCTGCGGCATTGTTAGGATCCCTGAGGCTTTTGGTCTTGGGTGATTTCAATGTGCATGCGGAGGCAGAGGCCACTGGGCCAGCTCTTGAGTTCCTGGAAACCATGGCTTCCTTGAACATGTCCCAGCATGTCAACGGCCCCACCCACGTGGGTGGCCATACGTTGGACCTGGTCTTTTCCACCCACTGGAGCGAGTGTGGTCTGGTGGTGACCAACCTCGTGTCGCTCCCCTTGTCATGGTCAGATCACCATCTAATAAAATGTAACCTCACAGTGGCTCTCCCCCCTCGCAGGGAGCAGGGACCTATTTCTATGGTCCGCCCTCAAAGGCTACTGGATCCGGTTGGATTCTAGGACGCCATGAGAGGGGTTACGGCTGACCTGGCTAGTGCTCCTGTTGACACTCTGGTTGATAGCTGGTCCATCGCTGCCACTAGGGCTATAGACACAATCGCGCCTAAATGCCCTCTCCTGCACAGAACTCGGCTTGCGCCCTGGTTTAACCAGGAGCTTTGGGTGATGAAGCGATATAGGAGAAGGCTAGAGCGTAAGTGGAGGAAGGACCCGATGGATTATAATTTGATAGCTGTTAGGGTCGCAACTAACCTTTACCTGTCTAAGGTAAAG